CTGTACTCTAGTGTACTCTGCTGTACTCTGCTGTACTCTGCTTTACTCTCCTGTGCTCTCCTGTACTCTCATAGACAATCTTAGGAGACAACCTTGACTACCTGAGACAAATCGAAGTCTGATTGGCTAAAGATGACATTTAAGTCATTGAGGATTACGAGAGAATATGTCAAAATGTCTGATTGCCTTTTGAATATACAATACATTACRAACTAATTGTTACGTTATTACATTACGATACATTATATTGCATTACTTTTGTATTTCGCATGCACTTGAAATTGCAGACATTTCTTTGACATTGCACGTCCTTGCTTTGCTTAGGGTTAAATTTAATTTACATTAAAGTGCATTTAATTGTATTTCATTATGAACTCTTTCAAATTTAAAGTGCAAATGCACCCTTCGACAATACTTTCAGTACAGATTCTACATGAAGTAACTAGTTGAATGGTAAAATATTTCTTGATTTGAGTGATGCGTCTCTAAGTTATGAAGGTTTATACTTCCAATATGCTAATAATTATGAAGTCTATTAAGGCTTAATTTAATATACGAGATCGAACTGGTTCATAGAAACAGTATTTAAAAAGCATCATTATTTTACTCATGGTTTACATGAAAGCTATTTACAATTTTTATTTTCAAAATGGCCAGCATTTAGTATTACTATTTAGAACAAAAACACTCAAATACCTTACTTGATTTAATTATAATAATTATGTAAAAATAATTGACCTACATAAGGGGATATCTTGGATTATGTTATATGCCATTTGAGAACTTTTTCTAGATCACATCTGTATATGGAATTAAAGGAGTCAACAGGACGCTTTTAGATACGTTGTGATGCTATACTGCTACACACCTATCAAGCTATCTTACCATTCGTCACAGAGCAAGAAAAAATGATTATGAAAACTGCGCAAAATGCAGTCAAGACCYTTCTTAAGTACATCGTAAAGAAGATCTCTAAGGAGTTCAAAGATGGAGATGGCACAAAACTGAAACGAGAGAAATAAAAATGAAAACTGAGTAAAGCAAACGAAAATGGAAATAAAATGGAAGTGAAATTAAGATTAAAATCAAAAATCGATATTTTTTTTTGTAATTAAAATAAGAATAGAAAATAAAATAGAAAATAATATTAACGAAAAGAGAATGTAATATATAAAAAAAGTTAAATACGGAAATAAAATGATTCTTTGGTGCCAAACATAGGACATTCTTTTATTTTTAGAAATAACTGATTTTAAAAATATAATGGTTTTGAGTGGGAAAGTGGAATTTCTGATCTTAAAAATCTAGGCAATTATCACTTATAGCTTACAATTTAATTAAAAATCTTACTTACCTATGCTACAGAAAATTGGCCATGGACTAAAATCCTAGCTGGTTTTCAGGCCATTTTTTACATTCTCGKTTGCTAATGACACAATGTACAAGCCAACCACAAATTGTTTCTGTTCAAATATAAATAATTTTTTTTCGTGTTTTGACTTGAAAAAATTAAAATGTCAGGCAAGGATGTTAATTATTTAGTAGTTTGGCCTCTGTCAACCTTTACGTCACATATACAATAGAACCACTATAGACATACAGGTTGTTGTATTGAAGAAGAAATTTGATGCATTTTKGGGTTGCTGTGTTAAGTTATGTCCAAGTCAGTTATAAATGTCTTGTTGTAGATAATTAGGTTCCAGATTGGATTTGAATCATATTGAATAGAATTAACTAGTTTAATAGTGAGGAGAGATGACATATTTCGCAGGTTGAATTTGAGTTGGATGTCGGTTTTATAGACGTTGATTGATAGAAAAAATCTAATWACRGATCCTATTTGGCAGTAACCGGCTGAGCGATGAAAAACGAGATGAATTTATCAATGTAGAACTGAAAGAAAAAAAGAAGAATGAAGAGAAGAATAGAAAAGAGAAAAGAAGGGAAGAGGAGAGGAGAGGAGAGGAGAGGAGAGGAGAGGAGAGGAGAAGGGAGTGCGTGCTCACGGTCTGGGTTACCTGTGTTTTAATTTAGTACCTAGTCTTCTAAGCCCACGCGGTCAARATGGCGGWCGATCTGTAAAAGACTCGTCTAAAWTTATTCGGCTTATTTTATCAATTTATAATCAACCCTTTCGGTTCTTCACCATGAATATGCATTCTGCAACCGCTAGACTCGGTGTAGATGTGTGTTTGACCCAAACGGAGGGAACAGACGTCMCCCAGTGTCCACATGGTAAGACACGTGGGATTTCAAACTTAAAATGTTGATCCTCTTGTTTCTAAGTTTCTCTGTATTTTTAGGCCCAATGCTTCTGTTCGAGCGATTTTTCAAGGATGGAAGACCACCTCGTAAATTCTACGCCTGCTCTGCCTGCCGAGATAGAAAAGACTGTGCGTTCTTTCAGTGGRAAGACGAAAAGCTGTCCCAAGCAAGAAACAAAGCACATGATGAGATAATAAAGCAATCCAAACCTTCATCAAGACAAACTGAGATCTGTAAAGAATTGGATTCTCTGCTTTCTTCGTCGAAGAARGATGAGGATTGTTCTTGGTTGTTTTGTCATTCTTGTAACTTGTTGTTTATGGAGGAGACAGAGAAACACAAGGGACATGATTTGCAAAGAGGTGAAAAGCTTGAGGAATTGAAGCATCCTAGTCTTATACTAAAACCACAGGAGAATGTCAAGGCCCATGCTGTAAGTCATAAATTAAGTGTGTAGTTCTTGCGCTCTCTCCTTTGGGCCAAACTGCAGTGTAAAAACCTCCAGTGAATGACATATGACCATAGCCCAAAAGAATTAAAGCTCACATTAAAACTAAACAAAGCACAATAATAAAATGGAAAAACCAAYAACTCACAACCAAGGTTGTTACACTGAGGTAAACCATCCTTGCCATCTAAGGGACCTTCTCTTGGTTTCCAGTATCCCTATTTTACATTTATAAAGGTGCCTATATCATATAATATTATTGAATGCACGTACATGTATCAGGAGAGCGGTATAATGGGCCATGCACTTTGTTTTAGTAAGCAAATATTTTGAAAATGGTGCGGTAATAATAGAAGAACAATATAGGTTAATGTGTGTATATCATTTGGCTGTGTATTCTATCATGGTTGTACCATATTAWTAAGTACAGTACCATATTGGGCCTGTCATTTTACATGGTCATCCAAGACGAATGGAGGTCCAACCCTTTGCAGATGTAATRACGAAGRCAGTGCCTTCTCTTCAGYTATTTTAAGACCATGAGTGTTGGCTGAGGTTAAATTATTACATGCACCTTTGCATAATTATGTTGAAGGAGAAGGCTTGAAAATAAGTTGTTGGAGTAAATTCAGATGACTGTGGGTTCATTCAACATAACACAACACTGTGATATCAATCTTAACAAATTTTTGTCATTATTATTTTTTTACTTTGCAGCAATTTTTGTTCTCAACTAAATCTACTCAGTTCCTGGTATCCTTGATAAGAAAAATGGGATTCAAGAAAGTACTGTGTCTGGGAACCCCAAGGTTAGTTTATTAGTTTAGAAATTCTTATATTAGCTMCATGTAAGTGAGATGCAATAGATTTCAAATGAATACAAACGCTACTAAATTACGACGCTTTGACATCGTCTGATGTCATTATCGAGTAAATTAATGTTCAAGTGAGAAGCATTTTAAGGTTAATACATGCTACAGTGATTATATACAAAAGGATTATCAACAAAAGAGTTTTGCTTTGATTGAGTGTTCAGCGTGGGTGACTTTTCTCTCATGAATAGTATTTCGTAAGTCAGGCAGTCAAATTAAGCTTTGCACTTCTTTTTTAAGATGCAATAGTTGATTTTAGTAAGAGCTTTTGAAGGGCTTCTTTTAAATGAATAGATCTCTTGAAATTAAAGGAAATGCTTTGCTAATTYGGATTCAACAGAATTCATGAAAAGATTCAGCTTGATAGAAGTAAAGGCAACAAGAAAAATTATCTGGACAGCCTCCTTCTAGACATAGATTACAGATATGTAAGTATATATATATATAGTATTATGAATTATACAGATATTACTGTGCAGGTACTCCAGCCAGGACTACTTTGATAAACTATAATCATTAACAATCATATTGCGGCATTTTGTTTAATATTTTTAACCAGCCAATCAGATAGCGCATCAATATGATACATGTAAGAGCATACTGTAAAAATGTGATAATATGATTGGCACTGTTATYAGTTCAATCTCTGCCTATAGTTTGCTGTTATCTGTTTAGTCAGATTTATTCAAGTGCATGGTCCCAGTTAGTGTTTCCACACTGTAATAAAACAAAAATTCCARTCTTTTGGCACCATCTCCTAAAAGCTGACAGCAAATGAATTTCTTGCAAGYAAGACAAATGGACCTCTTGCAACTTTGTTGTTTGCTTCCTTTGTTCAACAAACTCTCTTTTCAAGGGAGACAATAGAGGTCGATTTGCAGCAGATCTTCCTTGCTATCTGGGGCTCACAACATCTTCATTTCAATTCCACACATTAAATACCTCATGGCAGGACTACAGGTACCACTTAACATCACTTTATCTCCATTGCTTCTTTCAGGGTCAGTTCAATCAAAAATCAAAGTTTTGTCACTACAATATGTTCAATCACCATTTCTTTAATGAGGACAGTAAGGCTATTTTTMAAGATTTCTTAAAATCTGGTGGTGATCGGGAGATAATTCTTGTCATGGATCCTCCRTTTGGTGGTCTTGTTGAAGTACTTGCTGCTACTGTCCGGAAAATCTGGAATGTTTGGAGAGAGAAGAATGGAATGAAAAGTATGTAGGTTATTCCACTTGTCTCATCCATTTGTACATCCATTAATCTATCTGTCCATCATTAATTCAGTCTGTCTGTTCTTCCATCACTCCATCCATCAATCCATCCATTTATCAATTGTCCATCCATCTATCCATCTCTCTGTTCATTTATTTTCTTATCTACCCATCCATCTACCCATCCATTACACRTAATTTATCTTCTGCATTGTGTCTTTATCTATAATTTATATATTTTTTGCTATACTCTTTAAAAAATGGCCTTGCAGAAGATGTTAGTCATGAGCTGCCAACACTTTGGATCTTTCCATACTTCATGGAGTCCCACATTGAGACCTCATTACCCAACTTGAAAATGATGGATTACAAGGTATTTATCTGTCAGATAGCTCAATCCACTCTTTGAACAACCAGGCCCTTGTGCACAACAAAATAGTCATTCATTCCTTATTTTCTTTAAGGTGGATTATGAGAATCATCCACACTTCAAAGGCAAACAAGACAAAGGATCAAAAAGAGGATCTCCTGTCCGTATCTTTACTAACATCAAACCATGTGATATCAAGCTACCAGCTGATCAAGGATATAAGTGAGTCAATCCCAGGGGGTAGGGGTGGGAAGAGGTTGTCCTGTCTGCATCTTTTGCGATCATAGTTCCATAGAGTCAGCAGAGATTCAATCCCAAGGGGGTTAGGGGTAGGGATATGTTGTCCTGTCCATATCTTTACTGATCAAGAATGCAATRTCAGTTAGTGGAGATTCAATCCCAGGGGGTAGGGGTGAAGAAAGGTTGTCCTGTCCATATCTTTACTGATCAAGAATGCAAGTCAGTTAGTGGAGATTCAATCCCAGGGGGTAGGGGTGAAGAAAGGTTACCCTGTCCATATCTTTACTGATCAAGGATGCAAGTAAGTCAGTGAAGATTCAATCCCAGGGGGCAAGGGTGGGGAGAGATTCAATGTCCACTCCATATCAATACTGAGCAAGGATGCAAGTAAGTCCCAGTGTATAGAATCATTCCCATGGGGTTAGGGTGGAGAGATGTTGTCATTCATAATAATTTWTTTTCCCAGGCAATTATACAGCGTCAAATGCTGATGTTTTTCTTTGTCAGATATTGTAAAATTTGTGAGAGATTTGTTGCACCAGAGAACCGACACTGCCCAGAGTGTGACAGCTGTACATCAAAGGTAACAGTAACTAATTAACAGTAAATGTTTAAAAAAATGTAAAGTAATTAAGGGTTACATTGTTATCATTAATCTACCTCCCCCATTTCTTATTCTATGTTTACTTCTCTGGGATTCCTGTGTAAAATCATAGGAGGAAGATACAGGTAGCCCACCAATAATCAAGCTAAGAAACACCTTTGCAAAGAAGACTAATTTATGATCTCCTGATTCTTTATTTAGGATGGTAGGCAATACATTCATTGTCATCAATGTGGAACATGTGTTAAGCCAGGTACTRAATAATTTATATCTTTTTTTTTCTGTCAGTGATCTTGAAAAACCCTGTCTTCCTTGCTCATRCGTTTCATATTTTCCACAGGTCGAACTCATTGTCCCACATGTAACCACTGTGAGCTGCCATCACATGACTGTACAAGGTAAGAAGATAAAAGCCAGTGCCGGACCGAGGCTTTTTAAAACGGGGTGACTGTCTCAGGGTACCTTGTACTAATACCACAGGAAACCCATAACTTAGAAAATAGTGAAAAAACTGAGTTGTGTCATAAATTGACAAAGATTAAATTTGAGTGCTTCAAGCACTAGTACAATGGGGGAAAATTTATCAGGATAATTGTTTTCAATTATGAGCACATAATTGACTGCTGCCCAGTTAGCTCAGTAGGTAAGAGTGTTGGCCTGTGGTGCAAGAGGTCATGGTTAAGGCCTCGGCTGAACCAACACTCAGGGTCTTAAAAAAACTGAGAAGACCGCCCTTCTAATTACTATAAATTGCAAATAGTTAGACCTTCACGTGGCTTGGATGACCACATTAATGGTGGTCCCCATCTAATCTACTAGTAAAGAGAGGACAACATTAGTTTATCAGCTGAGTTACTTTCAAGTGTCATCCTCAAGAAAAGTTTTTTTGTGTGTGTATGCAAAAGCTTATGGCAGTCCCCCCTCCACCACAATATATAAATCATTCATTATTTATAAACTTTTTCATCTCACATTTTCAGGTCGTCTTCCTATGCTGGTTGCCATATTTGTGGTGATGTTGGTCATAAGAGAAGAGACTGCCCAAATAGACCAAAGAATGATCCCAAATCTAACAAGTATGTCCATTTGTGAAATAAAAAAATACCTTCCAAAAATAACGTTAAATATATTTTTTTATCTAAATAGAAAAGATGTCAAACAMGCCAAAGGAAAGAAAAGACAACTGAAAGAACCAAAAGCTCCTGTGAAAAAGAAGAAAAAGAAGAGCTAGTGCTGCTAAAAGATGTTAGATGCACAATAGTAATATTTGTATTTGCATAACTTTTTTTATTATATATTTTTGGGAATAAAAGATATTATACTCCAAAAAARATAATGTGTTAAACCTACTTGAATTAATTTATTTTGAATACTTAAAATAAAGTTACTACAGGGTGTAGGCAGGGGGGGCGGGGTATCTGTGCCCCCCAACAAACTGGTTACAGAAATCCTGCTCTTGTTTTAAGAGATGAGGGAAGGTTGGGATGATTAATTGGGGGTTTATTGGGAGTCACAGTCCTTTCCTGTCCTCTGAAAGGGGAGTAATAGCAATAGATATTTGCTGTGAAGAAAATGGAAGATTTAGAATAAAATAAAAATATAACATACATTGGAATCCTGTTCAATTCCTTTCACAATCCTCTTTCTGATTTCAAGTACTTTTCTTTCCATGTATCAAATAAATAAATAGTCAAGTTGAATGGTAATTCAAATTCCCCTTCCAAGCCCCTACCCCTGCACGACAAACCGTGAACCGTTGCCTACGTTACCGTTTTTACGGTGTGGTGTCCCTGTGTCTGTGTTACTTGATCCCGGGAAAGCGCGAGTCCACATTGCCATCGATCGAAGCTAATGAGTCATTCAGCGTGTGGCCATCAGCTAACAGAAACCAGCTGAAAATACGTAAAGTTTGAAGGAAATCTCGAACTCACACTATTTTAGACTGCCATTCGTTAAATTGCAAAGACGAAATTATAGTCTGCTACTATAAATCTTTCGGGTTTTCTCTTTCTCTCTCGTATTTTGAAGTGAACTTCACTCACTCAAGGTTCGACACCTCGCTATAATAAGCATTTATCTCGAATTTAGTCTCAATATCCTTGAAAGAAAGAATATTGGTTCGCTTTAGCAAAGAGGAACACATGAAAAACGTCTTAAGAGTTTTTTTTGGTGAAGTTTAAAGGCCTTAAATTTGATGTAGTAATGGAAGTTGGGTATGACAGGATCGCACGTGGGAATGCAGCAAACACATCAATACAAGAAGAAGCAAAGTTGGCATCAGGAATGCATAACCACCTTCCCCAGTAAGTACACKCTTTTTAATTCCTTTATTCTTTGTTATCTTCTTAGAAATATTGCATGGCGAAGGTTTGTCAAAGTTGTTTGTCCATTTCATAATTCATGTAGATTTCTGAGGTTGTTTCAGTGTTTGATCTTTGCGAGAAGGCGTTAGGGAGAGTTTAAATACCTATCTTAAGTTAGCCGTGCCCTGACTTAGATCATCCCAGAGGTTGTTCCAGGGTTTTATCTACGAGTAAAGCAATGCCCTGAGTTACAATAGATCAGASCAGAGGTTGTTTAAGGGTTCTGTGTGTGAGTTAGCCATACTCTGACAGATCAGGCCAGAGGTAGTTTCAGGGTTTTGGTCTGTAAGTTAGCAAATATGTCCTGACTGCACCCCAGAGGTAAATTTACAGGGTTTGATAATATTGGGATTTCTAGTACAGCATATATAGGTATTACTTAAACTTAGCCCATCCCCCTGTTATCTGCCCTTGATTTAACATCACATGATACGCTGAATTAAGCTGGTTTTGTTTTATTTCAAAGGAATGACCAAGGTGTATCTGATGACCCAGACCTGGAATCATGGGATCCAATGAAAGAAGACTATTCTAACTTGGCATTCAATGCCTACAGAGAGCCGACCACTCAAGAACTGAGACAATGGATGCCAAAGTATGTAAGCAATGTTGTTGAAGCCATCGATACCTTTTTGAATCCCATTTCACTCAAATGCGATTCATTACAAAATAATGGAGGGGGGAGGGGGGGGGGGAGTTTAAGTGTGCACAGTCAGCTCCCTGGAATACCAGGTACTAGCTGAAGGAACACTGACATTAAATAATGCCATTACCTTTATAGTTTTGGGACATGATCTTTTACAACTTTATCACTGCAGTTTTGAGATACTTTGTACCTTGAGCTTATGGCTATGTGGCTATTACGTATGTTTTTTAAAGTGCTACTCTGAGGAAAATCGCTCAAACTTGGATTCAGGTGAAACTTCCTAAGAATACTCTTTAAAGGTCCAATAATCACTGTATGAAGTGTTTTCTCGATATTCAGGACGAAAGTATGATATTTTACGATTATTTTTTGGAGTCTGTGAYGTCATAGACTCAACGTCGAACATCGCTGCATACATTTCTTTGTAGTTTATGATCAAAATATCAGTAGTAAACCGAGAAAGAAATACCCAAACACCCCAAAATATAAATTATAGTCACAATTAATGTGAAATAAGCACATTAGCCACCCTTTGGGCTTCATAGGAATAAAATAAATTAAGGATTTATATACAAAGAAATGTATGGAGCGAAGTTCGATGTTGAGTCTATATATGACTTCACAGACTCCAAAAAATAATCGTAAAAATATCATACTTTCGTCCTGAATATCGAGAAAACACTTCATACAGTGATTATTGGACCTTTAAAGAGTATTCTTAGGAAGTTTCAGCTGAATCCAAGTTTGAGCGATTTTCGTCAGAGTARCACTTCAATGTATTCATTGTACATGTTGCGGCTCAAGGAGTATTAGGTAAGCTGTATTATTGACCTTTYCATTTCCATTTATTGAAACCAAAGGCCTGGCAATTCTGGTCCTTCTGAAGACTTGATGGCTTGTTACAGAAGCAAAGATGGTGACGTTCGATTGTTTATTAATGGTATACCCAATGATATGACAAAGGTTAGTATACCTATATACATTCATGCTTTGTTTTGTCTTGGGCTATGAGTAAACATTCAATATGCTACCAGTAAAATGTTACTGTACTTGTAGTATAGACCCCTTGCATGTAACATCAAAGCAGCTCCATCCGTGGGACAAAACAAAAGAATTCCAATCTCATGAGAATTGGAACCTATTGTTTTGTCTTCCAKATCGAGCTGCATTTCAAAGTGCTGTGAGGGGTCTATTGGAAAATGGTGGGCTGTAAGATATAGCTAAAGTATGACCACAAATTTGTCATATTGTTTGTTGCTGTAGTCCTAATAACTAGTTACATTATTTTTTTATCCAAATATATTTTCCATTTCAGACCATGCCATTCCCTTCAGAATAAAAATACAGTACTTATATTTTACTTTACACAATATACATTTCTCGAATATTCTTGATGACCATGAAACAATGGTTTGAAGTTGAGACTGAACTCATTTCTTTTGTTCATCAAGTCCAACCTCGACTTGAAGCCATTGTTTTGTGATTATTCAACAAATTCAGGAGAGGCCTATTTATACCTTTAAATGCTCAAGCATTTTACTTAGAATTCTACAGAATAGTACTGAAGGAAATGACATGAAACTAGAGTAAACCATCTACAGCATAATTTTTATCTTTTTCRTGTATTTCAGGAAGGTGTTAAAGGGTTGTTCAGTCAGGTGGGGAAAGTTGTTTACTGTCGTGTTATTCCTCAAAGAGATCCGTCAAGAGTTGATAAATTTGGGTACGTAAAACTTAATGTATGACCATTTATAAGTTTCTAGGCTTATATTATATAAATTTTGATCAAAAAGAGATTTTCTTTGAAAGTTATTTCTTCCTTCCTTTCTTTCTTTCTTTCATTCTTTTTTTCTTTCTTTCTCTCTCACTTTCTTGTTCAAGATGGCAGGTACAGTTGTAAAACAGAGTGAAAACAACTTATTATCTTTAGAAACATACTAGGAATGATTAGAGAGAGAAAAACAGAAAAAAAAAACTATGAAATTGTGGCATACCCCTAAACCTGAACCYGGACCCGGACCTGGACTAAAAAAAATAAAWAAATAATAATAATGATAAATATTACACAAAATAATGTAATATATCATYTACAMYGTGACCTCAGGACACGACTCATTCGGCGTTATTCATAATAATAGCTGATCTTTAGATGGGGCCAGACTGTTTGAATATTTACCAACTGAAAATATCTTGATGCGCATGAATCGTGGGATCGAGTTAGCCAAGATGTGAAATGATTTTCTAACAATTCTTAACTTCAGTTCTAGATAAAAATATATCATCTACATGTTAGTCATCTAGACCTTGACCTCAGGGCACGACTCATTTGGCGTTATTCGTAATAATACTTTTTGGATATTTACCACTGAAAATATCTTGATGTGTACRAATWGTGGGATCGAGTTGCCAAGACTTGAAATAATTCCTTCRGGTGTTACATTTTACTGCCTTCAGTTTGGATTGAAGAAGCGTAAACGACTTACGTGACATCACCTAAACAAAACGGAATTCAACTGAATCTTTTTAGCTKGAATATTTCTATACCCACCGTTTAAAGCTTTAGATTACGACAGTATATGCTTGTATATATGCTTCATTGGGCATGGGTAAATCAAGATTCTGAATTTCTGCAGGCATTTCTTAGTTTTTGAATTAAATTTCCYGTGACAATTAACMAGTTGTTTACATTCCGGGTCTAATTTCTATGGTTATTTCACTTTTTTTCCGTCCAATGTTAGCCTAGTATCTTGAAATAAACAACGAATGCATTAAATACTATTATTTTACGAGATGTTTCTTGAGGATTTCCCTAACATCCTTTTTTCGGAGTTTCAACACCAGTTTAAAAAGCCTAATAAAGACAAGACTAATAACATTATTAGGAATTATTTCAAGCCTTGGCCAACTTGATCTAACGATTCGTACACGATATTTTCAGTGGTGAATGTTCAAACAATCTGGCMCCGTCTAGATGATATATTATATTTTTTTTGTGTAATATCAATGTATTTTTWAATATATTTATTTATTGGTCCTATTATATATATGTTTGTATTTGAGTTGAGTTGAGTTTTTTTTTTTTGAGTCCGAAGCCGAGTCCAGGTCCGGGTCCGGGTTTAGGGGTATGCTGAAATTGTTTCTCCTCGCATACCACTTAGTTTGGGAATCAAATTGGGTTGCACTGGTGAAAGGCAGCATTAGCACCACACACCACCCATTTCCATGGTATTCATGTTAATTTTCTCAACTCTTCTTATTTTTCTAAAAAGGTTTGTGGGATACAAGTCWTACAGAGAAGCAGAGCATGCCATACGAAAGTTTGATGGCTTTAATCTTGGTGGAAACAACCTTAAACTAAGAGTTTCTCTTGCAAAAGAAAAACCAAAGTTACCAGAACCTTTCCCATCAATGGAGGATGATGTTAACTTCACAAATGGATTGAAGGAAACTGTAAAAAACACAGAGTGAGTAAAGAATTGAACGYCATCAAAACATCAAACTCTGAACTATACATTGTATACAGRCATTTCTCAAGTATRTTTTAGAAATCAGTGTTATGAGTGGTRAGAAAAAKTTTTGAGTCATTACAAYGTTTGGTTCCCGAGTTATGAAGGTTGAGTTTGGGTCATGCAATACCATCACGTACATGTATACCTAAATAGTRATGAAAATATTAAAATWATTTACCCTAGTTGAAAGATTTCYTCTTAGACATGTTTAAAATRTCTATTAAAGTGTATTTCAGTGAAATATTTTCTAAAATATTGAAAATTCCATTATCTGAAGCCTTTGAAGTTTCATCTGCCATATTGGTGTACCAACTTGAAACACTGAGATGGTCGCTCCATGCCTTTCTGCCAAAAATTGTGTCATGTTAACTCGCCTATATTTCCACAACGAAWTGCTATACAGCCTTGAAATTTGGCCAGTATATGTAGTTTTGACTGCTTTACAAGATTATGAAACTTTTATTTTATAATGATGCGAAACAACACTTTCAAAATTCATGACAGCGTAGGTGAAAGGCAATAATATTTTATTAACTACAAKTCGTTTTTCAGGTTTTTACTTATGTCTGATCTTTTATGTAGTGTTTAAAAAACGAGTAGGAGTGTTTTATCAGGTGTGAAAGCATGAGGCGTAGCCGAGTGCTTTTATACCTGATAAAACACGATCTACGAGTTTTTTGAACTGCTTCAAAAACTCATGAACAATTTATGAGATTTTGGTTCAACTGGAGCCATCATACACGTCACGAGCATGGACTTTTAAACATCGATAGCAATTCGAATGTACCTGTCATGCGCAGTTGAGGTTTATACGTCACTATCATGTGCAGTCATTCCCAATAAAGGTTCCCACATTTTAAAGACAGCATGCTAGTCTCAAGACAGGATTGCTAGTCAATTAGATTTCGTGGGTCGTCGGTGATCGTATGTGAGACAGACCTTGATGAGGCTCTAAGTCTTCATCT